ATGTTTATATTTTAATTTAAGTATTTTTATTTCATTTCATTACAAACATACTGAAGAAACACTGGTCCAAAAGACACGATATTAGCAATGTGTTTCTATAGTAACAATTACACTGGGACTCCAATGCATGAGAATGACTTCAACAACTACATGTCAAAATTACTAATAGCTGCATAAAATGATCTAGCACCATTGAGAATAAATTGAGAATATATTGATGGGAAGTTTGTTAGTTTTATTCATAGAAATACATAGTAATTCAACTACTATTTGTTGAAATGTGCCTTAATGTACAAGTATGCGTTAGATGCTTCTGAGGGTTCTATACTGCCAGTGTTTGCGATATGTYTTTCACATTCCTTACGGAAATCTTCACTTAGATAATCATCTGTTCCATTTAGCACATTGGACACTTCAGCCACTTCTCTTAGATCTTCTTCTGATACTTTTAAGCCACATTCTTTACCTCCATAGTCTTCTGGACAATTGAAAATATGATCTGGGACTCCTGTAGGTAGTTCCTTTTTCCTTTGTTTCCTAATTCGATGACTGTTCCACACAGATTGCCTGAATATATCTAATTCTTTTTGCAGAACAGGTATGTAGATGTAGGCAAGCAAAGACCTATAAAAGTCATAATTTATATTCTATACTAGAATAGTTAGAGTATACTAGAGTAGTTTTCATAAACCCATGAAAAAATATAAGTTTTTAAAGTGTAATAAGTCAATAGTAGTCATGTACGGACAATAAAAGCCAAGATGTTTAACCATGTATTWACCTGTCTATTTCATCACTAGAGTCATAGTCACCATTTTCTATCAATGAAGACAATTGCTTCTTGAAAAACCTTTCCATTCTCTCCAAAAGTTCTCTCCACCATCTCTCAATTTTGTTTTSCGTGGAGGGACCAAAAACAACACTATCACTCGGATCTTCCATATCTCCATGCTTTGCTCTCAAAAAGCAATGCATAGTTSCCATAACTCCTGTCTCTGTGCCTTTATCCACACGGATTTTTTGAGGTAACACTAGAAAACACAAATTACACTGTAAAAGTCATAAAATATGGTGAGAACATTAACAGTCAGTCCACACTTGACTTTGTATTGTAACATACAACCCGACTGCTCAATGTTGTAATCATCACATACACATGAACATGCACATGTACCTCTTTCCTCATATAGGTAATCAAAATAAAAACGGCCTATAATATTTGGATCGCTGTTGGTGGTCCAGATTCTGAGAAATTGTATCCTGGCACTGTAAGTATCTTGAGCTCCATAGATGCACAAGGGGAATGTACTGTTTTGGTACCCGCACATCTTGTCGTGGCCATCAAGCGACATTGTGAAATTAGGCCCCTGTACATGGGCGAAATTAAACTGTAAGTATAAATTATTTCAGAAAATAAATTTGATTTGAAACTTCAGATTGTGTGATCCTTGCTCTAAATAATGGGGGCTGCTCATTTGAAACAAAAGAGCCATACCACCCTGTCAGTGTGCCCTACCCTTATTATGCAAACAGCCCTATAATCAAAAAAAAAAACAATAACAATGAGAGCAAAATCAATAATAAGGACCTGTATTTAACCTGAAAAATGAGCCAGCTTCAACAAAAGYATAATATAAGCACGTGTGTCAACACCATCTATGTAATCAAAACTGTATAAAATATATTTAAATAAATAATTTTCAGATGAATTTTAAAATATATCCTCAAGTACATAYATAAAATACAACATAAATAGTGAAATTGCGAAGTAGACAGTTCCAAACATCGATAATTCTCTCTCTCAGACGAATTCATTTTTGCGTAAATGCTTACGTTTGATAYAAAAGCTTTGGTTCTTTTTGGCCTTTTAGGCTTTCCTACACCTCCTCTGTCTTGTAGGCCTTGAGGGTTAACATCTTGCATGACAGTATACACAAGATTTCTCGGTACATTAAGTCCATGTACATCTCGAATTTTCTTGTGTAGAGCTCTATACCCCAGCAGCTTCCCCGGACCTTCCATTTCYATCTTGACGGCGTCTCTAACGCTTTCCAATTCAATGYTATAGTCTACATATTTTATGTCAAAGTGGYGAAGCCGGCGTGTAAGTGTGCGAATGCTCCATGCAYATTCCGGATACCGCTTTTCTACCAAACCAAGTATTTCGTGCTTGTGAAGATTCTGGCGAACATATGTAGCTAGATCATTCTTCAAAGCAATGTTTTCTTTCCATTCATCGTTCCTTATCCTTGTGGTCGCCATTTTGACAAGTGAAGAGGATAAATTAACATAGCGCGCGCGTTGCATGATGGGCTATGGCCTTCCTGGTCTTATGRCCTCGATGGGCCATAAAGGTTTTTTGTTGTTGTTTTTTTTTTGGAGGTTTTTGCAATTAAAATGAATCAAAAACRATTGAATTAAATTGAAAAAATTTCGGATTTTTTTTCAAATAAGAAATGAATCAAACWGAATTAAAAAGATTAAAACCAGAATATTTGCTTTTTTAATTGAAATCTATAAGAAATAATTTGAAATGAACTAAAACTTAAAAAAGTTACAAAACGGTATTTTTTGATAAAAAATAAATGAAATAAATGAAAAACAAAAAAAACAAAACAAAAATAAAATAAAACAAAACAAAACAAACAAACAAATATAAAAATAAATTTAGTAAATATTCATTTGTTGGTTAATTAAAGAAAGAAAAATGTAATAATAAGAAAAAATAAATAAAAAAATATATATCTATAAGCAGAAAAAAAGTAAAAACAAAACAAAAAAACAAATATAAAAACATTTTTGGCAAAAATTTAAGTAAAATAAAAATGATGTCAATATAAAAATTGAAAAATAAAATAGTATTAATTAAAATATGAAAAAAAAGAAAACAGAAAACAATCTTTTTTAACAGAAAAATAGGAAATTCGCTATGGCCTCGATGGGCCACCATACAGGTGAATTGGTACAAGTTGACCCTTTGCAATGTCCACAGGCYAAGGAGCATTGAAGATTATTCTTACGACAAGAACATCGAGAGGTACTGCAGTCAAGCGTGCAATTGCAGCGCACGATTTTAAGAATAGATTGTGGTGCGGGAGGCTGATCCGTCATTACTGGTGTAAGATGTTCACCATCCCGCCGCCATCCCCAATCACCATAGTGCATTCCTGGTTTCTCTTTCCATTCCATTATTTGGAAATACACTCGTAGGCTATGGTACTTTGCCGCTCCGGAAGAAGGAGGCAAACTCTGTGCCTGTAACGACGACTTCTTGCTCGCCAATTTCTCAATGTATCGCTGGTATCTAAGCTGATTGAGATTCTGCCCATGTTTGCCACCATAAATACACACCAATGCATTCTCTCCAGCAGCTGTTATCTCTTCTGATGTAGAACTTTCGTTGTCAAATATCTTGGCTTGTTGCTGAAAATAATCTGAGGTACTAAGCTTTTTCAGTGACRCGCCCTTTCCTATGCCAAATAGACTAGAGGTCGTGTCGCACCCGAGTAATGCGTGGATAAACAGCACATGGCGACATACCTCTCCCCCTAACTGACGCTTGACTTGTATTATGTTCCACACTCGTCTTCGCGTCGAGTTGACCTTTGGCTCTGGTCGGAAGTATAGATTGTGCCCGTCTTCCCGTGTATAGTAGAGCAAGAGCACCAATAGGTCGGTGTCATCTCCTACAAGAACTGTGCTCTCCTTTAGCGCAAGTTCTACAGCGCTCTTTACTATTAGAACATCTGCATCTCCATCCGCGTGACGGGTCTGGCATCCCTTGTCCTTCAGGAATTCACTCAACAGAAGWACAAAGTTTTGTTTGTTGCTCTTGTTTGACAGAAATAAATCCTTCTTCATGGGGATCTTTGTATCTATTGTGAAAGTTACAGTAGCACCCACTTTCCCAGCGCTTCTTCTTTCTTGAGTCATAGACTTTGTGGACAGAGTATTGTATCCATCAAAAACAATCATAGCTTTGCCGTATCTCTTGAATACGTAGTTGTAGTACATTGTGCAAAKTTCTTTAAATGTTTTTCCCATGGGCCATGAGACGCGATGTATGAGCGCTCCTCCATCTAACAAGTACTTTACCGCCTTGGGTGGATCTTCTTTTGCGCTGTCGCTTAACTTTGACCAAATAGCTTCTGCGAGGACTGGTTTTTGAGGCTTTCTCAACATCAGCGACGAATCAAAAAGAGCTGTGGGATAGCTGCAGAGCTCATAGCAAAACAGCGACTCAATTTCTTCAGGTGATGCGGCTAAAATTAGACGTTGGAACAAAAGTTGTGGGTCAATTTGAACTTGCTCACCCCCGATTTTGATCGACAACTTTGCAGCCATAGTAACTGACTGGGCAGTACGCTTGAAAGTGTAGTCTTTTGTCGTTTTTCCATACATAGATGAAAGGATTTTGTCTCCTGTGTCTTTAGCTTTGTCAACATTTACTGATATGTCACCATGAACGCCCGTTATGA